CCCGAGTGAGCCACGGGCCGGCCCCCTTTTTTTAGTCTTTTTAAATGGACAGACTTGCTTTATGGCCACGGATATGGATTATCTTGGTGAATATTCTCTTTGCACATGAAAAATATATGTATTCTGATGTTTGAGGGAGTGTTTGTAAAAATGCCAATTAGTTTGAATTGGATCGTAGCGTCTTTCAGGTCTTCCATATCATTTACTTGTTCTGTCAAATCTGAGAGGGATGGCGAAATCATCAACTAATAATTTTGAATTAGTCCTTTTCTCCCTTCGGTTCTATCAGATTTTGCTTCATGTATTTTGAAGCTCCCTATAAAGTACTGCATAAACATTTAGAACTGTTAAAACCTAATGAATTGACTCGATTATTATGAAATAGCCTTTCTTATGCCTGGTATATTCTTTGTTCTGAAATCTGAAGTTTACCCTGTTTGATATTGATATCTAGCTTTCTTTCTGTTAGCTTTAGCATATTTTTCCATCCTTTACTTTTAAGCTATCTGTTTCTTATATTTAAAGTATGTTGCTAGAGTGCGGTGCTGATAACAGCAAGGCCGCGTGTTCGGATCTTATATAGGGATGGCCGGTTGGCTCACTTAGGAGAGCATGGATTAGGTGGGTTCATGCCTGTCATTTAACTCTTCATCTTGTAGGCTGAGTCATGCCTCTTGACCTTTCTGAAAGCTCCTATCGCTCCTGATCCTTCATCCCCATTGTAACATGTGGCACACATCACACTGCATTTTGTTTGCTAAAGGCCCTGTAGAGCCTAAGAGCTTTGTTGTGTCCCTCAGTATATCCTGAGCCTAGCCAAGGTACCCTTTAATGGAAGGAATGAATGGGCACCAAAATCTCAGTCTACTCTCATGAATTTACCCTTCAGAGGCTTCCTTCCTATGGAAGTGACCAGAACCATCTTGCCCTCTCACCATCACCTGCCTTTTATGCTGAACTACTCTCCCAGATCAAGATGTGGTGATCTGTCCTGGTTTGTTTGTTAGTTCTGAGGACCAATGTCCCAATAATCAACTTCGTAAGAGGATCAAGCCAGCTTTCTTCACTGAAACTTTTCATGTCTCAGAGGGATCTAGCAAGACACATAAATGGATTCCTTTTACATCTTCAATTAGATCTTAGGTACTGATCTAACAGTCTCAAATCTTACATTGTCTATGGTGTAAACCTTAGGAAATCCTACCTTTGTCTTCCACAGTGGGCATCTCCATCAGAGGCAACTGAAAGTTTCATATCAAAAGAAATTTGGTTGGCACCTCCACAGTTCTATGAAATAAGGAGACTTGAACTCTTTGCCTCTCTCTCTGAATTGCACAAATTTTGTTTGGATCGTGCACTAGAAGGGCTGGAAAGATGGATGCCAATCAGTTTATTAACTGCTGATGGGATGGTCCAGCTTTTGCCAGGTAAATCGGTGAAGCATCAATACTTTTGTTAGTATTCACATTCAGTGCAGTAGCTGTATGGCAGTATTTTCCAACATGGAGACATGAATTACAGTTTATGTTTTATAGGCTACATGATATTAATTAAATAATGTCAAAGTTTATAAAATATCCGTGGTATTTATTATAATCAGAAATTCTGAACAATATAACATACACACATGTACACATATATATTTATATAAATATATTTCCTAGACATTGAAAATGTTCTTTCCCAAACATCATCTCACTTTTCTACATATTAACTTTGAATTGTGAGAACTTATTTGAATTAGGGATTTGTTGATGGTCGCTTGTTATTGAGTGAACACAGGATGGAGCCTTATTGGCAGTTTAAGAGTGGGGCTTTGTGACTTGTCTTACTTTGTGGCTACCTGCTCAGTTCCTGAGAATACTGATAACTTTTGCTACTTAATGTACAGGGGGACAATTTAGGAATTTTGATGTAAATGGTAATTTCTCTAAATTAACCTTAAGATGATTAGAATAGCCCACACTGAAACACCAAAAGTATATGAATGTCAAGGCCAATATTAATATCAATATCAAATAGAATAAAGGGAGTCATGAGCTAGGATAAAAGTTATAGTTTGCAATGAAAACTTACCAGTCGTAGATGTCTATGTGCCCAAAGAAAATTCTTGGCTGGGGGATGTGGGAGGGGAATATTAAAAACACAAGAAAAAAGTGCTGGCTGGTTGGCTCAGTTGGTTAAAGTGCTATGTTATAACACCAAGGTCAAGGGTTCAGATCCCTGTACTGACCAACTTTCAAAAAAAATTTTTTTTAAATAAAACACAAGAAAGAAATTGAAATAAGCTCATCAAATTAGGGTTAACAACCATTTCAGTTCCAAACACATGAAATAGATAAAAATAAATACTGTTTTATATGTCACTAATATATTGGAATGATTTATAAAATAATAATTTATGGAATTAAAATTTTATTTTTCAGGAGATGAGATGTACTTAGAAGATTCAGACCTTTTAGAAAATCTTTTGTCTACTGAAAAAAAGATTGAAGAAATCATGAAGGAAGGCAAGAAATTTCACCGAATAGTGATACACGATCGCCATCTTTATAATATCCATGTGACTGTTCAGTCAAAATATAAACACGTTTATCCTAAGAATTATGTGTTAAGTAAGAGTCACTTGTAGGATGCCGCTTGTTTGTTTGTAAGCTGGCCTACTTGAACACTTAATGAGTGATGAGAGTTGACTAAACTTGCTTAAAACTTAAGGAACTCTGTGCCTGTAAAAGTTATAACGCAGTGTTTCTTATTTCTTTTTTTTTTTTTTTTCCTTTTTGTCTTTTTTACTGACCGGTAATGGGATCGTAACCCTCAGTGTCACGCCCGCACCGGGGACCGGCAACGGGATCCAAACCCTCGGCGGGAGCGCTGCCACACCCCCAAGCGGCGAACTCTCCAGTGCGCCACCAGGCCGGCCCTTTTTTTTTTTTTCTTATTTCAAGTGTATTATGGATTTCTCTTGCTTATTTTATTTTTTAAAACTTACTGTATGCCACAAGTATAAAGTTTATAAAGTGTATCATGTTACCAAAACAAAAATTTTACAAGGGTTCCCAGTTCTATACAGTTTTATTATCTCAAAAGTTTAAATAAAATGTTCTACTGCCACTAAAAAGCACAGCAATGCCATTGTTCTCACTGTCCAGTGTTAGCACTTTCCTTGGTTTGCTTTGGAGGTTGATCCATGAATATCTTTGACTTCCTGCTGGAATTGATTTATGGTGTCTGATTATGTGGTGAACAGTAGACTGAGACAACCTTCAAGTGATAATGTCACTGTTTTCTTGCTATGTCTTTAGCTTGATGATCAAAATGCAACTCTGTTTTATACCAATTGGCATTAGTTACTGTGTTTTCCAAACTGGAAACCCATTTTAGTTAATATTTTAAAGAAATATGAAGTCATAACAAAAGCCATCATTGTTTTTACTCCGGAGAGCTAGTTAATGAATACAAAAGATTAGAGAGTTCTAGTGTTTAATTAAATGATGTTTATTTTCAGTATGATTAACATGGGTAATTTTTTTCACCTCCTTTATGGAGGGATAATGTTTATTGATTAAAGAAGAGAAATAATAGTTAAGATATCAGTTCTGTTTCAAGATCTTTGACTATATTTTGCATTGTACATGGATTTTGTTTTTCATTAAATGTCTTTGTTTTCCTGCCTATAAAATAAAGGCAATGATAAAGTTTATACATATTATTTAATCCTGATTAGAGGAATATATCAAGAGCAGTGGTTCTCAACCCAGGCATTTTGCCATCAGGGGATATTTGGCCATGTCTGTAAATATTTTTCATTGTCACAATTGAGGGGGTATACAACTACGATCTAGAAAGAGCCCAGGGATACAGTTAACTAGCCTCCAATGCACAGGATAGCTGCCCACAACAAAGAGTTATCTGGCCAAGGGTGAGAAACCCTGATCTAAAGTAAAACCTTTTTTTTTTTTTCTTCAGTAAATGGTTTCAGTATATAAATTTTGAGAACCATAGATACTGTTATCATTCTATTTGGCCTCTGAATATACAAAAATTCTCCTTACTGACTTTTGGCCTTGGGCATAATGTTTTTTCATTCTTACAGGATACTAGACAGTTACAGTTGGAAAGGGACCTCAGTGAACACCATGATTTTGCCAGTGAGAAAACAGAAACAGATACACACAGCCAATTAGTGCCATAGCCAAGAGTAGAATCTGAATCCTAGCCCTGTGTGTGCCCTTTTCGCTGGAGTTACTATGGCTCACTTGGTGATTTTAGGAAATGTAGTAATAAAGTAATGTGACTGATTTTTCTTCATAGAAAATATATAGTTTTGTTGTTTTTCATCTGAATGTACCTTATCTCCTTCTAGTAATTCTTCTGTCTTTGTTTTTGGTGACTGACAGGTAGGGAGATCCTTCCTTGGTGTTATCAACACTGTGCTCTAGCCAACTGTCCTTCCAGTAATTCTTTTTGTGAGACTGTCACATGACTTCCTACCTGTAGTGATACCCTTCCCCCTCAGCCCAAAATGTTAGAGCTGCCTTCATGAGCTGAAAAATTATGTTGTTTTATTTAGTCAAGGGTTAAGATCCCCTTACCGGTCATCTTTAAAAAAAAAAAAAAAAAAAAAATTATGTTGTTTTATTTTTTATTTTATTTTATTTTTTTGTCTTTTTCGTGACCGCTAAGGGGATTGCAACCCTTGGTGTGGTGTCGCCCACACCACGCTCAGCCAGTGAGCACACCGGCCAGTCCTATGTAGGATCCGAACCGCGGCGGGAGCGTCGCTGCGCTCCCAGCGCCGCACTCTCCCAAGTGCGCCACGGGGCGGCCCAAAATTATGTTGTTTTATAACCCAAATAGTATATATGGCATTTATAATATGGTCCTTCTTACCTAATGTATTCAAACTACCTGGGCTCCAGATAGAAGCAGAAAGGTGACTACTTGTCCCTATCCCTCCTCTTAGTCACCTTCCATACTGTATCCCTACTCCATGCCACACAGTTCTCTGTTAATAAGACAGTTCAGAGTAACCTATAATATGGGAGATGTAATGAGGACTCAAGTATAAGATGACTCCCTCTCTTCTGAGGGATAGTGTGTGGGTATGCGAGGAGGGGATTAAAGTAAGATGTCCTTCAAATTGAGAAGGTATTTTGAGACCAAAGAAGGAAGCAGACAGGTCCATTTGATAATCAGAGATATTTATTAATTGGGTGACTTACAGATAGGAAAGCTGGATGCAGTGAAGAATAAGACATCAGCAGATGAGAGCTCTCTCTCTGCAGGCTAGACAATGTTTATATAGCAAAAGCCCCAGTTAACTAAGAGTAACTTCAAGGAGACAGAAAAACAAGGTAATAACATTCACCAGGTGTTTTGTGCTCCATGAGAGGTGTTGTCTTGTGAGTTTAGTGCTCAGACCACTGATGCCACCTGCCGTAGTAAATCATTCACTCCCTGAAACTTGTGTTTCTTTTACAGCTTGACCCAAGGTTAAGGGTTAAGGTGTAACTAACTAGTCAGTGAGGTTACACAGGAGTCAACATGACAGGCAGGGTACAAAATGGTGTTAGTTTTGTTCACTCTCTAACAACGGGGGTGAGGCCATCCTATCATATTTGGGCATATGTAGTTATTTCATACTCTTTCCTCTCTCCTCAAATCTTTATTTTTTTCAACCTCAACTTTGGACAGTTTTCCACTCCTCCTTGCTTCCCCTCCCTTAGCCACTACTCTTTTTTTTTTTTTTTTTTTTTTTTTTTTGCAGCTGGCCAGTACAGGGATTAAACCCTGGTCCCTGTTGTTACCAGCACCATGCTGTAACCAACTGAGCTAACCAGCCAGCTGTACTCTGTCTTGTTAGTTTCTTTTCCTCTAACCTTTAGATGTTAAAGTCCCTCAATCCTTGTTCTCAGACCCTTTTCTTTCCTTGAGTGAGGCAAGTGACCTCCAGGTCACACCCTTCAAGGAGGAAATTGCTTGCCCTCCACTTTCTCTTTTCCCTTCTTACTGGCTGGAAATGGAGCAGCTGCTCTGGACCCAGAGACAGAAGCCCTGTATTAGTGCATAGGTGCTCTGGACTGCTCACCTCTTGCTTGTGACATGAAAGAAAATACACTGCTATTTTATTTAAGCCATTATGTTTTTGTCTTTTTTTTTTTTTTAAAAGATGACCGGTAAGGGGATCTTAACCCTTGACTTGGTGTTGTCAGCACCACGCTCAGCCAGTGAGCGAACCGGCCATCCCTATATGGGATCCGAACCCGGGGCCTTGGTGTTGTCAGCACCACGCTCTACCGAGTGAGCCACGGGCCAGCCCAAGCCATTATGTTTTTGGATCTCTTTGTTAAAACAATTTAGCTTGTTCCCTAACTTATTTTCTACAGGAGGAATAGATAAAGAATATATTGAAAAGTCTGGGAAATCACTATTCTGTATATTTAGACATCTAGATGAGTAAAATAACATCTCATACCTCATTGTAGAATTGATGCTGATGTTTATGCTGCATAAAACTCAAGACATTTACATTTGGGTTATTAGTTAATAACAATTAGCTCTGTGGTAGGTGCCATGTCTGTGTTAAGCTAAGCATACTTTAATATTCAGTATTTCTCTTGACTATTGTATAAGCTAATTATGATAAGAGATTTGAGTGAAAGTACTAATAAACTTACCTCAGACTAAGACCACACAGGAGAAACTTCAGCTTAAAGGAAATTAGAAGGCCAGAGGGAAGAAATTACAAGTAAATGAAGGATGTTTTAAAACTCAAGTACTGTAACTAGAATGCTGCTCTGAGATATTAAAATACCTAGGTATTTAAAAGACATTGTTAGTTGACATTTATTTTTTAAATGTATTTAAGTAAAATTTAAGAAATACTTGCGCTAAGCAGAACTTTCAGGTTTCTTTAATTTTGTTAAAGTATTTATTTACTTTCTTGTATTTTGAAAAGATGTAGTGAACATATCGACCATTAAACATAATGGTGTCCATTAAAGGAAAAAGAAAAAAGAAAAAAGTAACGTTTATGTTTTTTCTTATCAAATAATGGGTGATATATTTCCTACTTCCTCTCTCTCTCTCTCTTTTTTTTTTTGCCTTAAATCATTTTAATTTTACTTTTACTTTAAACCAGTTACAAAGGTACTCAAATTAAGGTGAATTTTAATTTTATCATACATTCTTACCCACATATATCTTGCCTTTTTTTATTTTTATTTGGTTTTGGTGGCTAGCCACCCATGTATATCTTGAATTCTATCTTCTGACCTCTGTACTGCTATCAACTTAGTCTATGCCACAGTTTCTCTTACCTAGGCAGCTATAACAGACTTGCAGCTGGTCTATTTCTTTTCTTCCTTTCACAATGCATTCTCACATTGAGCTGGAAAAGTGATCTTGAAGTTGAAAGGTAAGTCATGTCCTGTCACTGCCCTCAGTAAAACTCAATGGCTTTTCATTCTTATAATCTAAATTTACCATGTCTTACAAAGCCCTGCCTTTCTTTCATCTTACCATGCACCCCTCTCTGTTTACTCTACCAACAGAAAGTTCTTTCTGTTCCTCGACTGCTCTGCTCTTTCCTACCTCAGAACTTTTTGCACTTACTATTACCTTGAGACAATCCTGGATCTCTGAACAGTTTTTATTCTTGGGCCTCTCTGTTACTGTAACCTCAGTAAAAGAGGCATTAAAGACAGAGGATGACATCTAATATGTGGATTATTGGCACGTTGAAAAGAAAATTCCAGAACAAATGGAAGAGACACATTACTTAGAGAAGATAATTAAGTTTTCTTGAGCTGAAGA